GTCAATCCCACACTTTATCTCGCAACAAATCACCTATTTGGTGGTCAGTAAAGCAAGTCGACCACTGACGAAAATTGAAATTTCAACTTGCTCCGATCGTTATGAAATTTTACACAGTGCTAGATCTAATTGAACTGAGCAACTGTGCAAAATTTGAACGAAATCGGCCCAGCGGTTGCTGAGCTATGGAGCTTTGGAGTTAACGGTGGTAGGTGAGGATGGCTGACTGGCAGCCTTAGACTCTATTACCAGTATCTCGACCCTATGTTCTATAGTAATTAGAGGGTAACCTTTCAAATTATGTTTCCACAGATGCCAAAAATTGACAAAATCCAACTTATAACTTTTAAAATATTTAAATGGATGACGTCATTGCAAGTTAGATACAATTGTTTTTTAGTCAAGCACTCAACTTTTTCACTCAAGTGTAATTTTGAAATTGAACAACAAATTTGAAATTGATCACTTACAATGCGTTGAATATCTGTAAGTCTTTGAATCATTACTGTGAAATGTTTTAATGGAATTTTTGTCTTATTTAAATAAATTTCTTGTATTGATATTAAATAAAAAAAATTCATTTCAACTTTATTAATTTCACAATTAATCATTTTTAAAATTTTTAATTTTTTTAAATTTTCAAGGTTAGGGTTAGGTTAGGGTTAGGTTAGGGTTAGGGTTAGGGTTAGGGTTAGGGTTAGGGTTAGGGTTAGGTTAGGGTTAGGGTTTAGGGTTAGGGTTAGGGTTAGGTTAGGGTTAGGGTTAGGGTTAGGGTTAGGGTTAGGTTAGGGTTAGGGTTAGGTTAGGGTTAGGTTAGGGTTAGGGTTAGGGTTAGGGTTAGGGTTAGGGTTAGGGTTAGGGTTAGGGTTAGGGTTAGGGTTTAGGGTTAGGGTTAGGGTTAGGGTTAGGGTTAGGGTTAGGTTAGGGTTAGGGTTAGGGTTAGGGTTAGGTTAGGGTTAGGGTTAGGGTTAGGGTTAGGGTTAGGGTTAGGTTAGGGTTAGGGGTTAGGGTTAGGGTTAGGGTTAGGGTTAGGGTTAGGGTTAGGGTTAGGGTTAGGGTTTAGGGTTAGGGTTAGGGTTAGGGTTAGGTTAGGGTTAGG